TAGACCTAAATATGAAAGCTAAAGCCATAAAATTCTTAGAAGAAAACAGAAGTAAATCTTCATGACTTTAGGTTAGGCAAAGTTTTATTAGATACAATACCAAAAGCACAGGCAACAAAAGAAAAATAAACTTCATAAAAATTAAAAATTTGTATGTTTTGAATGATACCATTAAGAAAGTGAAAGGTAGCCCACAGAATGGGAGAAATAACTAGCAAATCACATATCTGACAAATGACTTATAAAGAACTCTAAAAATATCAAATATAAAAAGACAAATTATGGGATGCCTGGGTGGCCCAGTCACCCAGGTTAAGAATTACGAGTCTGACTCTGGATTTCGGTTCAGGTCATGATCTCAGGTCAAGCCCCACACCGGGCTCTGTGCTGACACATGTAGCCTGCTTGGGATTCTCTCTCTCCCTCTCTCCACCCTTCTCCCCTCCCCCCAATAAATAAATACGCTTAAAAGAAAACTCTAAAACATAAAAAAAAACAAAAACAAATTAACCAATTTTTGTACATGGGCCAAAGATCTGAATAGATATTTCTCCAAAAAGATATACAAATATCTGATAAGTACTTGAAAAGATACATGGGGTGATGTCATCAAAATGGTGGCACAGGTCATTCCTTACTTCAGCTCCCTGCACAAAAAGACCAACTAGCAATTACCCATAGACAAAACACGGTTGTGAAAATCCCAGAACGCAGGGGTGAGGCTGAAGCACTCCCTCGAGCCACAGAGACCAAAAAGGACCACAAGAAGAGCCTTTCCCCTCCCTATAAATGCATTGCCCTTTCCCCGACTTGTACTGTGCTACAGAGTGGGTGCCCCTGAGCCTCGGTTTCTCCAGTGGGAAAAGAGAGCCCAAGGTGGAAATCCAGCTCCCCCAGCACTGTGGGATGCTTCCCAGGGCCCTTTTGGGTTTCACCTCAAGGGGATCACTAGGGAATCTGCAGGGCTCAACCACCGGATATCACATAGAGATGAAGAAGGGGTCAGAGCCTCCTGCCACGAGTGCTCACGTCTTGGTGGCTCTCATTTCTGCACGCAGCAGCACTCGAGCCGAGATTCCAGCCAGGGGCGCTGCCCATCTCTCCATAGAACCAAGCTGGTGTCCCTGATTGGCCAGGGAGCTCGGTTGTCACTTCGGCCGGATTTGAGTCCCAGTCGAGGGGCCGTGTAGACTGCGAAGCCTGCTTTGCTCTGCCGTGGCGGGGCGGGGGGGGGGGGGGGGGGGGGGGGGGGACAGGTTCGCAGCCCCACCCAGCTGCTGAGCACAGTCTCCAGTCCCACCTATCCAGGAAGCCTCACCAACAAACTCGGGCAACTACGGACCTCATCCTTCAACCCTGATTGGGCAGGAAGCCAAGCCAGGCACCGTGTCCAGCAGTTAAGCATAGCCTCTGACTCCGCATAACCAGGGAGCCGCAACAGTGACCCTAGGCAGGCTCAGAGCTCAGCCCGTGGTCCTGCGAAGCCATGGAGCACAGCCTATAACCACACCCAGCGAAAGACCCCAGCCTATGGCGCTGTCTGGTTGCCGAACACAACCTATGGCCTTGCGCAGGCAGGGAGCCCAGACGGTGCCTGGACTTGATCACAGGGCTTAGCCGCAGCCCAGCCTGATGAAGGAACCCAGAGAGGAACCCTGCCTGGCCTCAGCGCACAGTCTCCAGCTCCACCCAGCTGCTGAATGCCGCCGGAGGCCTCTTCCGGCCACAGAGCCTGGCCAGCCACCTTGCTTTTACGTGGCCGGCAAGTTTCTGTCGGCTGTTGACAAGAAGCCTCAGTTCTCAGGGCTTTTCCACAGGACTGCCGGGTGTCATCAGGATGTGGTGGTTGGCTCCCCCTAGAGCAAGTGATCCAAATGAGAGCAAGGTGGCAGCTACAATGTCTTTGTGACCTAACCTCAGAGGCAAAATGCTGTCACTTCCTCAGGATCCTATCAGTAACACCGACAGGCACTATTCAGTGGGCGAAGGGGTTACATAACGCACGAAGACCAGGAAGTGAGGGTCACTGGGGGTCATTCTGAAGCCTGGCTACTACAGTCCGCCTTGCTGACCTTAACCCTACCGCATGCAGAATATACTCACAGCTTCTGAATTCTTCTTGCTCCCACCACAGATATTTCAGCCCTTTCCAGTATCCGCGCAGCACAGCCAGTAGCCTATCAGATCCCCCAAACCAGCCCACGGCCCTGATGGACCACAAAGCACAAGCTGACACCCTCTCCAGAGCCTTCCTGAGCACAGAGTAAACCCAGCAGAACCATCGTATCAGGGAGCACAGCCTGACACCCCCAACCAACCGGGAGAGACTGTCCAGCCCCTGAGGCCAACCGGTGACACCGCCCTGCCAGGGAACACAGCCTGAGACCACACTCAACCAGAAGTGATTGCAGAGCCCAGCTAGCGGCTCTCTCTGACCACAGAGCCCAGCGAGTGGCACCACCCCTGGCCTCAGAGCCATGTAAGAGAACCATCTTGGAAGGAGACCAGCCCCCATTTAAGCCCTCAGGTCATTGCAGCCCCGGATGCCATCCTAACCGCCATCTCGGGGAGATCCCGACCCAGAAGCACCTGGCTAACCTACTCCCCAGTTCTTGACTCACAGACAGGATGTGAATACATGTTTACTGCTGCTGGAAGCCGCTGGCCATTTGTTAGATAAACTACTATCACTAATACACACCTAGGCTTTCACTAATTTCTATGGAGAAGCCGGACTGGAATAACAAAATAACAAACCAGAGAATGTCACAAACTTTCTAGCAATCTTATAGTGCTTCCTTTGGTTTATTCCCCGGCAGCCTTTTCCGGTTTTCTAAGACTATTCCAGAACTTCCTCTAAGATGATTCTGCGAGTCATCCGGCCACAATTCCTGAGAGGAAAAGACTACCTATCCTACCCACCCGCCACCTCCCAATGCAGTCAGAGATGATGACATGCGCTTGTGTGTGCAGGTTTTGGGGGTAAACACAAGTGTAAAGAAACTGTATTTCCAATTCTAAGGAAAATTGTATAAATTATAACACATTTTTATAATAGCGTATCATGCAACCATTTCAAAGCATGATTACAAAGTGATCCTTGCTGATTTGGAGACCCTTTTATGATATCTTTTTAAATTAAAAAGAAAAGTGAGGGGTCTGTGTGTGTGTGTGTGTGTTATTTTGTGTGCATGTGTGCATGTATATAGTAAGACAGAATTGGGAACTACTAGCAGGGATTATCTTTAATGATATGAAGCAGAGGACTTTTCTCCTTTATGGTTTTATTTTTTTAATGTTTATTTTTGAGAGAGGAAAAGAACGCACATGAGAGGGGAAGGGTAGATAGGAGAGAGAGAATCCCAATGAGGGGCTCCATCCCACAAACCTTGAGATCATGACCTGAGCCAAAATCAAGATTCAGACGCTTAAGTGGCTAAGCCACCCAGATGCCCCTGTACTACTTTTATATCAGAAAAAGCATTTAAAGAAAAAAGAGAATCTTGCCCATCCCTTAAGACTGTCACCCATTAAGACTACCCAAATCTGGGGCGCCTGGGTGGCTTAGCAGGTTAAATGCTGAACTCTTGGTTTTGGCTCGGGTCACGATCTCATGGTTTGTGAGTTAAGCCTTGCGTCAGGTTCTGCGCTGACGGCATGGAGCCTATTTGGGATTCTCTCTGTCTCTCTGTCTCTCTCTGTCCATCCCCCCACTCTCTCAAACTTAAAAAAAAATACAAAATAAAGACTACCCAAATTCCTGTCAATATCAATCTTATTTTCTATCACTTCATTATTGTACTCTTCCTTGTATGATCCATGTTCTCATATAGGATCCGCATGGCATCCTCATGGTGTTTTCCTTCTCTGCAGTTACAAGCGCGCGCCTAACAACATAAGCGTACTACCTAGCTTTAGTTGTCCCAGAAATGCCACCACTGCTCCCTCACGTGACCACGACGCCGCTCACAGGGCAGGCAGGCCCATTCTCCCAGGCCCCAAATTCCCGGGCGGCAGGCACTGGCTACTCATCACTGTCTCCCAGCGCCACGCACAGTAGGTGCTTCCTGGGGACTCACTGGGCTGAACACGATTCCTCTTCCCATTATCAGCTTCTTTCCCGGCCAGGCCTGAGAAGGACTGGGTGGTGGCATAAACGCATGGGGTGGTGGGATTTCGTGGACGCCAGCGAGGCCTTTTCTTCTCTCCTACATCTGGTGCCGTTATCCCAGCTCACAGGGATGACTTTTCTGGGTTGGTGAAGCGGTAAGTGACCCCGGAGCATTCGTGCACTCCTTGTTACATCACAGCACATCCAGGAAGGCTGCCCCAAGGGTCACAAGGGAAGAGGAAACCAAGGCCACACAGGAGGTCTGGGAGCTAGGAACAGGTGGCGGGGGACAGCCCAGGAGTCTCCTTTGTGGCTGAGGAGGTGAGGAGGAGCCGGGCCCCCATTCTTCCTCCCTCACACCCAACGTAAACATCTTTGTAAAAGCAGCAGCAGCAGACAGGGCGCCTGGGTGGCTCAGTTGGTTAAGCGTCCCACTTTGGTTCAGGTCATGATCTCTGGTTCTCAAGTTCAGCCCCGCATCACGCTCTGGGCTGGCAGCATGCAGCCTGCTTGAGATCCTGTGCGTGCCTCTCTTCCCGCCCTCCCCTGCTCCTACCTTCTCTCTCTCTCTCTCTCTCTCTCTCTCTCTCTCGGACCAAAGGAAAGACTTTCCTTTCATCCTGCTTTCTGCCCTACTGCACCCCTTCCCTGAGGTGCTGGACAAACAACTTCGTCATTTGAGCCCAAGCAAGAGCAAAAGGAAAAATCAAGTGATCGGTCAGTATCTCAAAGATGCTGTCTGCCACGTGGGTGAGTGTCCTTCCTGCGGGGAGTGGAGAGGAGCTAGCGGGAAAGGGTTCGGGGCTTCGGGACTACGGCTTTGTCCTCTCTGGAGATGAAAGTTGACCACCAGCAGTTTGCTCCCTTAGCAAGTAAGAAGAGACGGATACGCTTTTTGAAAAACACATTTATTTTAAAATTTTACATAATCTTTGGATAGTTCATCATCAGATCAGGCACGGTTCACAGATGTTTCTGAGATCGAGGTCTCCAAACCGGTGTGAACAGTTTCTGTGACTGAAGAGCAGGGGACCCTCATAATATAGGACGAAGCGATGGCTACTGACGAAGACACGACCCCTACGGGGGCTTTCCAAATGCGGCACGCAGTCACCATTCTTAAGATATCGGTCACAAATATTAACCATCTCACCAGACCAACAGTAATACCCCTATCTTATTTGCATTTCACTAGTTTCCATAGAGAGACAACACAGAATTAAATTAACTGGATCCCTTATACGCACAACAACAAAGCTAGCGGCTACCCAGTGTAGTCTCCTTGTCCACAGCGACACCTGCCTCCTGCGGCTCGAATGCCTCCTTGCTCTCACTGTCTGTGATTCAGGGACTGCAGCAAGCACAACAGATCAGAACATAAAGCAACTCATGGGCCCAGAGAGGGGAAAGACTCTCCATACAGCAGGAAGCGGCCCGGGTGTGCTGCCCGCTGCCGTTCAGAGGCAGAGAGGCCAGAGCTGCAAGCAAGGGAGGAAGAGGGGAGGGAGGGGAAGGGGGAGGAAGGAGACATGCTTTGCACAGTCCACCACCTCCGATAGTTTCCTGGGCATTTCAGGCAGGTGTCCCGATAGGACAATTAATTCCCTGATGACAGGACCCCCTCTCTGGCCTCCCTCAAAGCAAGGTCTTGCCCAGGTGTAAGCACACAGCAGGTTCTTAGTGAAAGGAAGGGAGGAAGGGAGGGAGGAAGGAAGGAGGGAAGTGGGAGGAGGGAGGGAGGGAGGAAGCCACCATGTACCGAGCCCCTGCTATGTACCAAGTACAGAACCAGGATAGGTGTTTCATGTAACCCTTATAGCAGCCCTGTGAGGTAGGCTCGTCATCCCCCATTTTACAGATGTGGAAACAGAGTCTCAGAATTCTCCCATGGAGGCACAGCTAGTAAGCGGGAGGAGGGGGGGTGAAGGGAAGGGAGCATCCATTTGAAACCCAGGGCTTCTCCCTCTGGGGTCCATCTACTGCTTATATAAACCAAGGGTTTGGCAGCAAGTGAGCACTTCAGCTCCCAGGCAGCCGGTCTAGAGCTCGAGCTTAAGAGGCCTTGAGCACATGAGGCCAGGAGTCCAGAAGCCTGGGTCTAGGAGCCCTGGCTCCACAGCAGTACGTTGTGACCCTGAGCGAGCGTCCGACCTTCTCCACGCGGCAGGACCGGGCCAGCCCAGCGTGCTTCCCCACCCGGGAAGGGGTAGCCCGACTAACCCAGGAAGCATGTTGGCAGAGCGGAGTGGGAGGGCCTCTGTCTGGAGACTCTGGCGCTGCCCCCTTGCTGGAGGGCTAGAGGGCACGGCCGCCTGGTAAACCTTATGAGAATCAGTTATGATCTTGAAGGTCCTGACTTCCGAGAGCAACTTGAAATTCTAGGGAACCACAGCCCCACTCCCTGAGAGACACTCCAAAACAGCCCGTGAAGGTCAAAGAAATCAGGATACTGTTATATAGTAGAAAAGGTAGAAAAGTAATTTGAGAGAGAGAGAACAGCACCCACTGCTTTAAAGGAAAAGACAAGATGGCGGTCAGGAGGGGTGGGGTGGGGGGTAACCTGGAAGCAGTGGGCGCAGGTGCAGAATCCTACTGCGGGGCAGGGTCGGGCCAGGCTGAGCGTGGACAAGGCAGGTTCTTGGCGTCTGGCTTGCCGGGTGCCTGCCATGCCAGGGGGCTGCACTCGCTGCCTCGGACAGGGGGAGCGGATCCCTCAAAAAAATAATCGGAGCTTCTCTCAGTTCAGGCAGACCTTCGAGAACAAAGGTGAGAACGTGATCTGCCCACGCTTGGTGGAGAAGGGTGAGGGGACCTGACCAGGGAGCCCACGCTCAGCAGCGAATTTTCCGGAAGCCAGGCAATGTAGCCTTCCCAAGCAGGTAAATGTCCTCGTCTGTGCCCTGGTTGAGGTGCTTCACCATATTCTTCTCAAAGAGAAGGGGGTGGTAGGCGCCCATCGTGCAGGCGCTGTCGAAGAACTTCTGGTAGTAGTAGCACACGTCGGTCTTGCGCTTGGATGGGAGGAACTCATAAATATCCACCTGATCACACAGTGTCATCATGATGATGATGCCTGGAAAGGGGAGCAGAGGTGAGTCCTGCCCGACGACCCACCCCAGCATCCTGAGGTCGTGCCCCACGAGCCTGGCAACGCAGGGACCCAAATCTGGGGAGACGCCTCTCTGGACGTCTTTCTGTTTACTACTGTGATTCGCAGTCTGAGCCCTGCCAGCAAGCCAATCCGGCACGCTGTTCCTCGGGGTGCAGGGCTGTTGTGTCCTGTGGGCCTGTGTATCCCTAGCGCCTGGGTCAGAGGCTGGTGCATGACAGGTCCTCCCTAAACCCGAGGGGGCCCAAGTGCTCCATCAGTCACCCAACTTATCAAGGGGAATGAGCTGTATGAAGACAGAGGACAAGATGACTGAGGAGACAGTACCATCCCATGTAGGTAGTACTTTCTAGCACTTTTAGATCCCACGGGAGCCTGCTGGCTGGTGCTGACTGGGAGCAGTTGCTTCTTGCAGTGCTTGGGGAGACTGAGCTTCCCCCGCTGGCAGGAGGGGCAGCGTGGGCTGTGTGGATGGGCTCCGCTCCTTCTGGCGGGAGACGCAGCCCCACGGGTGTGGCCAGGCTGGCACTCCCAGAACACTGTGCTGAGATGCACACCGAACACGAGGCTGGAGACTCCTGCCTGCCTGCTTGGCCCCACCTGGCTCAGGACACGTCCCTCTCTGGGCCTCGGGTTCTCCATCTGCCCCAAGTGGTGAGCCACCCACCTCTCCTACCACGCAGGCTGTTGCTAGGATACAGTAACATGGTGGCTCTCAGACCCCTCTGTCACCATAAATATAGGGAACGTTTACGATGAAGCAGTTCTCACTAAGAGCAGAACTGTAAACTGCTAGCAGCTACTCTGTTCCAGAGGAATCAGCCATGGGAAAAGCCCCCTCTGGCTGTCTCTGGTCCAACAGGGGTAAAAAAGACACCTCTGCAACTCACTGATGAAGGCACAACAGAAGTGCTTCTAGAAATGACGGGAGGGAGCACTTTCTATGGGAGAGGTCTTCTGTAAGCCTCCTGTCAGCACTGGTGTGGGGCCCAGCAGGGGCCAGGAGGGATGGGCATGAGGGGCGGATTGGGGGTGCGGGGGACCGCGTGGGCAAAGGCAGGGCAGTGGTGATGGAAACATGCTTTTCCAACTACTCCTGCTCCAAAGGGCTCCTGGAAGAGCCCCAAATGCACACATCTAAACGTTGAAGAGAAAGGTATGAAGATGTGGTACTGAAATGGCCCCCATTCCTTTCTATAAGGAGTGCCTCTGACATTCAACGCTGACTTGTTCATTAACTCAGGGGACAGTTACCACAGGACTATCCTGTGCTGGACCCAGAAGAACGCATCAGACTCAGTCCCCACCCTGAGGGGGTTTGCATTCCAGAAGGACAGCAGGCAAATCACACTATGGCAGGTGGCAGGGGCCAGCCGGCCAGCCATCCAGCCATCTGTCCATCCATCCCAAGGGAAAGGGGTCCCCTGCGGGGACCCAGAGAAGAGACTTTCCCTTCCGTGCGTCCAAGAAGAAAGTCTGAAACCAGCATTAGGACCCTCTGGCCTCAGACCTTAGCCCACCCACCAGCTCCCTCAGTTCCATTCATGGCGCCCAAACCCCAGAAAGCTTCGCAGCTCATTCTCTCAGGAACGTGCCTGGGGTCCTTGCGGGGTTAAGCAAATTTTTGAAATTGGGAATGAAGTATTATTAATTCTTGCTTTTTCCTCAGATGCCAATATGGCTCAGCAGAACTATATTACTGCTCCTGTTTTTATTTAAAATTGCTGGGGCGCCTGGGTGGCTCAGTCGGTTAAGCAGCTGACTACGGCTCAGGTCATGATCCCGCAGTTTGTGAGTTTGAGCCCTGCATCAGGCTCTGTGCTGACAGCGCCCGGAGCCTGCTTCAGATTCTGTGTCTCCTTCTCTCTCTGCCCTTCCCCTGCTCATGCTCTCTCTGTCTCTCAAAAGTAAATGAACTTTAAAAATATATATAAATAAAATTGTTGATATTTCATTCAGCATCAAATCTTGCATTAGTTGGGGTTTTTATAAGAGTCTGTATTGGTGTTGTTACTGAATTTTTTTGGTGCCCCCTTAAATCGTACACCTGAGGCAAGTGACTCCCTCACCTCATCTTCCAAATCCCAGCCCTGCTCTTTTGTTTTCCTGCCCAGCGCTCCCCCTCCCAAATCTGCCCCTCACCTAGGCCTGGCCTGATGCCACTCCTCAAAGCTCTCTTCTGGCACAACTGGGCAACGGCTCCCTCCTGGCCTCAGCTGCCTCACTGAGCTCCCCTACCAAGCACCCTAACGGAGAAGGATTCCATCTTACTGATCTCCGGGTCTTACTAGAAACTTGGCATGATGTACGAATACAACCAAAACCTAGCAATTGTTTGCTGAACAAAGAAATGAATGAATGCATGAATGAATGAGGTCCCAGAAGAGAGCTAATCTCTCCTGGAAACAAACACAGGAGGTCCTTCCCCAGACGCAGACTCACCAAGCATCCCGGAGGACGGGGGGTTGGGCTGAATCTCCTCGGGGGAGACTTCTTGAATGATGTCCCACAGCTCCCAAGGCATCTGGGGCTTGAGGATGTAAAAGGGCTGATCGGGATGCAGCTTGCGATAACTCTTATAGTTCTCAAAGAAGCTGTAGTCGGGGCTCTGGTACCACTGAAAGGGAAGGAAATGGTCTTCTCAAGAAGAGAGGGATGTGCCTCGGCGCCCCTTCCTCGGAGCGGATTCCAGACCTCACAGCACGCACCTGACAGCACAGGGGAACCCAGCACATAGCCCAGGCTCACAGGGAATTTTGAGCCTGGTGACCCTGGAACCGCCTCAGACTTCGGGATCATAGCCTCTGGGAATGCTACCAGAGCTAAAAAAAAAAGGGGCCCTGGCACCATCTACCCCCGCCTCTCATTTTTAAAGGGGTGAAAACTGGGGCACAGCTGGCCACATCTGGGGGTTCAGAGTCCCTGTCCAGATGCAGGCAAACTTCTGTTCTCAGTGAGATCAGTGCAAAACTGTGGAGGCTGGGGTGGTGAGGGTGCCCGGGACCACCAGAGCCTGTCAGCTCCTGCTGGGTCTGACTTCAGAATCAAGTGTCCCCAGAGGGTCCCCAAGCACCCTCCGGCCTTCCGCCCTAAAGCCATTCTCCTGTGGCCCTGCAGCCGCAGCAGGGAGGGGACAAACAGCAAGAGTGCCTTCCGGACAAGCTGCGGAGCCAGCAGGCCCGAGACCTCTGTCCCCTTCTGCCCCCTTCCTGGGAGGGTGCCCTCTGCTTCGTAAACCAGGTCCTGGCACAGGCGACCTCCCCTCCTCACATTCTAGTCTCCTCACCTGCAAAAGGGAAATAAACGTGCTTCTATCTACCTCCCTATGTTGTTAAGAGTGAAATGGAAGACTTCTGGAAACCGGAAGTAGGTCAAGCATGGCGATTCTGTTACAGGAATGAGTAACCACTGTCTATTCCTGCTGATCTGCATCAGAAATAACTGTATTAGGCAAACACCCCCACCCCAGTGAAAAACTCAGCCCCTATTACTCCTGATCCATATCATAATTAAGAGGTAAGGCCGTGGCACTGTGGGGCAGGGGCGGAGGGCACGGGTACACGACAGGAATACTCCTGCGCTGCCCCCCCGTCCGGATCAAGTGTCTTGTCCTCAAACCGAAGGGGCCAGTCCTCCGGGATGGCCCAGGCCAGCCATGATTTTCAAACCCAGGAACTCAGGGACGCCTATAGGCGAACACAAGACTCATCCCCACCTCCCATGGATACCCACTTACCTTTGGGATATCTGAGTGGTAAACAGACGGATCCCACACAATTAGGATTCCCTCGTTGTACAAGCTGTCTTTGAGGAAGCGCCCTTCAGTGGTGACCAGCTGCAGGAAGAAACAGACAAACGGTCACCTGGATGTTGACCTGTAAATATCCTGCTTGTAGTCGTAACTGACAGGTCACAAGTACACGTGAGGCTTCTAAGTTTCGGCGCGGCACTTAATTTCAGTGATAGGTGAGATCAGCCGTCAGATGTCCACCTTAAAAAGCACATGTTGCCCTGGCAGAAACTGAGAGGAGCAATCAGGAATTGTTGGAAAATAACAGCAAGAATCACAATAATCCCTCCCCACCTCGACCACTCGCCGTCACGAGGTGGAGACGAATCGGTGTCACTGAAATAGCTCAAGACGACTATGGTCTGTGTACAGCCCAGGGAACAGCGACTTGTCATTTGCCTCTGAGGTCATTCAGCCACCTCACTCCTAACTAATACCTCCCCCAAAGGTAGGAAGGCCCTGGAAGCCTGAAGAATATAACCCCACTTCCTCAGTATATCTTTGAGACAAGAAATATTTGTGATGAGGATTGTGCAGTTGCAGCGGGTGCTAACGCGTCCCCAGGCAGTCACCGGGGGGCCAGGGTGAGTACGGCCATGATGTGAGTGAGTGTTAAGGGACAACTAATAGCAGGCCAAGACAGGGAAGTGGGGTATGGGGAGAGGGAAGATGTCCTAGACAGAAAAAACAATGCGTGCAAAACCCCAAACGTGACTTATGTGGCAGAGACTGCTGGGCGTCACCCAATATTCATTCATTCTTTCTTCCTTGGAAACAAACATTTCTGTCTACCTCAACACCTGACTACCTGAAATAAAAATTTCCCAGTGTCTCTTACAGCCCAGCATGGCCATGTGATAAAATTCTGGCCAGGGGGGTGACTTGCAGAAAGTGTCCTTAGAGGCAAAGTCATGCCATTCCTTATTCACTCCTCCTTCCTGCTGGCTGAAAGTAGACATGATGGCTGGAGCTTGAGCAGTCATCTTGGACCGTGAGGTTGAAGTCACATGATTGAAGGGTAAATGCACAAGGTAGCAGGAGTCTAGCTTCCTGACACACTACAACGCCATAGCAGCTCTGAAAGGTCCACCCTTGGACTTCTTTTACGTGAGACAGAAATACGTTTTTATCTTGTTAACCTAGTGTTGAGGGGTGGGCAGTGTTCCTGGCACTTAGAGACGAACTTAGTTCTACTTAGTACAGCGAGGAGCTTGTCTGGAAGTTGCAGGTTGTCCAGTGCAGCTAGGATACAAAGGGAGAGGTGGAAGGTATTAGAAAACTGTAGGCAGGGGCCATGCCAGGGAGCTTCGGGTTTCTTCAGTAGATTATGGGACCCTTGAAGGCCCTTAAGTGAGAAGGATCTCAACAGACTAGTGTTCTGAGTCTCTAGGATTTTGACTAGTGTTCTGAGTCTCTAGGATTTTAGAGAAAGGAAGACCAGGTAGAAGCTGCTGTGGCCTAAGAAATGATCGAGAAGGAATGAAGACAAAGAACTGTCAGCTGCAGACCTGCAGACTCATTGTGTGCTGAAAGGAAAGGGGGTGAAGGGCGACTCCCAGACCTCAGGGCATTTCCTAAAATGGGAACGTGGAAAGAAAAGCAATTGGTATGTGCCCGTGGGGGTAAGGTGGGGATCTGAAGTTCAAGGATGAGACAACTGGCCTCGGCTCCCACAGCTGAGGGCCACAGGAACCAGGAACCGGACCCTCATCTTCTGACTTTAAGGGTGGTCCTCGGTCTGTGGGGAGCATTGTAGGTCCTGGCACAGGTATAATGCTGTGGTCCAAAGGCAGGGCAGGCACCCGGGCCTCTGGGGCTTTGCAAGATACACATGATCGAGCTGGTGGCAGGAAGGCCCAGGGAGCAGCAGGCGACCTCCTGATGTTCTTTTATTTTTTTTTTTTATTTTTTTTTCTAGTTTTTTTTTTTTATTTTTGAGAGAGAGAGACAGAGCATGAGTAGGGGAGTAGAGAGAGGGAGACACCAGAATCCGAAGTAGGCTCTGGGTACTGAGCCGTCAGCACAGAGCCCAACGCGGGGCTTGAACTCACAGACCACGAGATCATGACTTGAGCCAAAGTCAGACACTTAACCGACTGAGCCAGGCAGGTGCCCCAACTTCCCGCTGTTCTATACTTGTCTTCAGAATTCTACTGCTCCACTCCCTATTCCCATCCCGCTCCACCTCAAAGCAGCCAGTAGGTACATTGAGAGCATAAGTCTTTTCTCGAGCCGTGCTGCATTCTCTGCAGAGTACTGACGCCAGGTGAGTATGCAAACTCAGGAGAATTAGCGATAACTGGAATTTTTAAAATGTCTCCAGCTCCTCTCCAGTATACAAAGCAGGAGGCCAATGGCAGCAAGTTCTGGCCCCTAAAGGCTTTACCAGGATCTGTGGCTTCACGGTCCTCAGGAATCCCAAGAGAGCTGCTCAAAAGTCTCTCCTTTATGATAAAGGAGAACAAGGACAGCAACAGATGCCCTTCGATGATGTTTATTGCAAGCCAGGTACTTTTCATACAGTATCTCAGTTCATTTTCGCAAAAACCCCAGGAGGTAATTATTAATATGCTCATTTTATAAATAAGGAAATAGACGCAGAGATGCTAAGAAACTCACCTAAGCCATAGGGCTGGTAAGCAGGGGGTCTGAACTGGAGCCCTTTTGTCTGGCTCCAGAGCCCACACTTCTGACCACAAAGGGGGTAGGGGTGGGTCACCCATGGGTCTTGGGAGGAGATGCCAAAGAAAGCATTTGATACGGGATATAGATGTGTCAGTGGGAATGTTGTTTCTTGTCTGAGTTGTAGCAAGTCACGGCTGGAAGATCCTCAAGGGACTAGATCCAAATCTGTCACTTTCAGAGGGGTACACTGAGGTCCGTAGAGAAAAGAGACTTGTCCAAGGCTACCAAGCGAGCCTGGGGCAGAGCTGGAACCAGAGTCTAGAGGCTGGTCCTCCCCAAGTGTCTTTATTTCCCCCCCACAGGGCTATATTCATAAACCACGAGGCACTTAATTAAGTGAGCACATCAGCAGGGCCAGGGCCACCCTCAGTTCTCACCACAAATGGTGGGGAAATGGCTATTCACCCGAGCTACTTCATGAGGCAAATGACAAAGCATGAAGCTGAGAACAGGTGACAGTAAGTGCTAGTTCATCACGAGGAGGAACAGAAGGTGAATGCAGCCAGGACCCGTGCGCAGAGACAAGAAACTAGTAAGCACTCCTTAAACAGAAAAGGACCGGGCTCTGAACTTACCGCATTAATGCTGGTGTGAGAGCTGAAGATTTTCTCAAAGACAAGAGAGACTGCTTGGGCAAGTGGGGCTTTGTGTCTAACCCGCTCTGTGCTCTTCGGAGGGCGGGTGCCCTGCCCCAGGCTCAGGTGCCTTATTTATAGGACATTATCGCCCTGTAGGGCCCTGCAATGACCAGCCATGCCTAGGTGGCATCTCTGTCTGTCATTTTTTCAGCTGCAGCAGAAGGCACTTGGAGAGAATCAAAGTCTTTTCAAATGCTCCTGTTCAGGGGCGCCTGGGTGGTTCAGTCGGTTAAGTGTCCGACTTCGGCTCAGGTCATGATCTCACGGTTCGTGGGTTCGAGCCCCACGTCAGGCTCTGTGCTGGCAGCTAGCTCAGAACCTGGAGCCTGCTTCCGATTCTGTGTCTCCCTCTCTCTCTGACCCTCCCCTACTCACGCTGCCTGTGTCTTTCTCAGAAAAAAAAAAAAAATTAAAAAAAAAAATCAAATGCTCCTGTTCAGAGTCTGACCTGAGTTCAAGGGATCCCAGGAGCCTCACGATGCGGGAAGTAAGTCACTGTCATAGCAACGGAGCCCCAAGGAACACCTACCAGGAAAAGACTATGCCAGGGAGATGGAAACCTGTGTTAAGTACTCTCTCCAGTCACAAAGTGAGAAATGCCCACTGCAGAAAGTCAGAAAGACAAGAATATACACATATATCTATATATGGAAGAATAAAGTAATAACCACAGTCATGCATTTGGCAGATACTACCCAAATGGTCTTTAATCTTCCCAAATCTTTCTTCCCTCAGTTACGGACTGAACCTCATATGTTAAAACCCTGACCCCCAGAGGAGATAGGGCCTTCAGGACAATAATTAAGGTTAAATTGGGTCACAAGGATGGATCCCTAATCTGGTAAGATTGATATCCTTACAAGAAAGGGAAGAGACACCGAAGAACTCTCTCTCCCCACATGCGCAGAGGGGAAAGACCGGGTGAAGACACAGAGACATGGTGGCCATCCATAGTCTATGAATAGAGCCTTTATCAGAAGCCAGCCTTGATGGCACCTGATCTTACAGCTTCGGCCTCCAGAATTGTGAGAAAATAAATCTCTGTTGTAGAAGCCACTCTATCTGTGGTATTTTGTGATGGCAGGCCTAAGAAACTAATATACCCCGTGTGTGTGTGTGTGTGTGTGTGTGTGTGTGTGTGTAGGTCCTGATATCTTAACTATAGAGCTTAGACTTAGTTGTTTTGTCAAACTCACACAACACAATTCAATGTCTTCTCCTTTATCCCTCACAATATTTCCCAGCCCCAAACAGAGTATGAAAAGGAAGCTCTAAGAGGTTACCCAGCTGGCCCAAGATCAAAAAGCCAGGAATGGATGGAGCTAAGAGGCAAACCTAGGCCTGTCTGATCTTTTCCCACTGCACCAGACAGCCTTCATTCAAAATAATAAAGGATAACAAAAGAAAGGGCGTGTTCTAGCTGATTTGGAAATCTGCCAGAGTCACAAAGCAAGTTAGTGCTATAGGAAGACAAGCAAAGGGGGGTCACGGTCCTGAGTAGACATAAGAAAGGAAGTTCTTGACCATGGTAAACTGGACCTGAACCGGAGGTGCCCAGGGCACCTCAAATGGAAAGCCACCACAACCCCCAAGTCAGAGGGGCCTGAATTCTAACTGGCATCCCAGGAAGTCATCAAAAGAACCGTAAGTATGGGGCACCTGGGTGGCTCAGTCAGCTAAGTGGCCAAATCTTGATTTCCGCTCAGGTCATGATCTCAGGGT